CGACAAACTCGTAAGACGATGGAAAAAAGGAACAAAATCTGCAATATATAAAAATAAATCTCAAATGCCATTATGGACGCACCGACAAAAAAAACAACAACAACAAGACATAAATAATAAAAAGAATATATATTTACGAAGAAATATATTAACATCCGTCAATGGAATTATTTAAAGTTTGATGTTGGAAATTTTATAAAAAAAAATAATGGAAGTGAGGAGAAAAAAGTTATAAAATATAACTCAAAAATTTGACAACTGGCGATTTTGTAATTTCGGAATTTTAAGATAGTCCTCTAGCACCTTTTTCGCACCATAGGTAAGGAGACCGTTGGCTCACTTTTGAAAAACAAGTGTTTAAGTTAATTTGATTAAAACTTTCTTAAATTAATTGTCGTTTTATGAAATGAGAGAGAAACGAGGGAGACCTCAATATCAGATTTAGAGATTACAACTCTATACATTCACTCAGTACCTAATTCACAGACACCAACAGTGACATCCATTTCAAATTTCAGGATTTCAGCTCTTTAACTTCCAACGTTACCAAATTTAGTTCAATTTAGTACTTTTCAAACAATTAAAGTAGGCATTTCCAAACCCACCTCCATATTTGAACCACAGACCCCAATGGTGACACCTATATCAAATTTCAGAGTTTCAACACTATTCCTTTACTCAATACCGAATTTTGTAGCACTTATATTGTAATATTGTAAACATTTTAAACCAGTAAAGAAAGCCCTAAAGTCGGGCGGGGCCCTACACCACTTTGCTAATTTAGATGAGCTTCACTTTTATGGCAGAATTTAGTCATGCATGCTATTATTATAATTGTAATTTAAAGTTCGCAGGACTAAATTTGAATCTTTTTGAATCTTTTAAATTCGGACTTATATTGCCCATTTGGTCCACAATTAATTTGTAATCGGATAATGATATATATGCGAGCTATATCCAAATCTGAACCGATCTCGATAAAATTTGCCAAAGATATTTCTGAGCTGTATCTGATATATTTTCCTGAATATCGTTGTTACGGAGTGCATATTACGTCTGTGGGTAACAAATATGACAAATCAGATGAACAGTATATATGAGAGCTATAGCTATATCTGAACCGATCTGCACCAAATTTGGCATACTAGCTTCTAGACTCAATACGATCGTAAGTGCCAAATGCCATTCCATTTGGACAAATATTAGACGTTTGGTGCACAATAACAGGTAAATCGGACGAAGTTATATATGGGAGCTATATCCAAATCTGAACAAATCTCGATAAAATTTAGCAAATGTATTTCTGAGCTGTATTTGATATATTTCCCCAAATTATGTTGTTACAGAGTGCATATTACGGCTGCGGAGGACAAAAATAAAAAATCGGATGAATAATATATATGGGAGCTATAGCTATATCTGAACCGATTTTTTCAAATTTGGCATACATATTTTGAGGCCTAATTTGGTTGTATGTGCAAAATTCCATACAATTCGGGCTGATATTACACGTTTGGTGCCCAATAAAAAGCAAATCGGACGAAGATATATATGGGAGCTATATCTAAATTTTAACCGATTATCTCCAATATCAATAGGGTTCGTCCTTGAGCCAAACAAATGATTTGTGCAAAATTTCATCTGGATAGGGCAATAAATGCGAACTGTACTTTGTTCACAAAAATACATGAACAGACGGACGGACGGACGGACGGACGGACGGACGGACGGACGGACATGCACAAATCGACTCAGAATGTGATTCTATGCAGAGCATTAAAAGGAACTATGGGTCTATCTCGTTTCCTTTTGCCTGTTACAAACAAATGCACAAACACATAATACCCTGACCACCTTGTGATGTAGGGTATAATAAAAGAAATATGGAGAAAAAATGTCATAAAACGTAACCCAAAAATTTGACAACTGGCGATTTTGTATTTTCGAAATTTAAAGAAAGCTATTACAAGCACCACCGAGTACTAGACCAATTCAAAATCTTTCATTTTGAAGTTGACCGAGGAGGATGTTAGTAAAACCATTGCAGAATGGACCCACATCCAATCTTACTGTCCACAACTATTTCAATGTCTCCATATGCAGCCCCACGAAACCCATAGTGGCCTCAATAGCAAATTTCAGAACTTCAGCTCTATCCCAGTTACCAATTTAGTAACATTTAGTACGCATATCCAAAAGAAATCATCAAAGTTCGTAGTACTTTTCGAACAATTATAGTATAGTGCCAAAGCTACTACCAGATACCAAGGGAGGCCTCAATATCAGATTTCGAGATTCCAGCTCTATACATTCATTCAATACCAAATTTAGTAACATTTAGCACTTCTCATAAAATTTTAGTACACATTTCCAAAACTACCTCTATGTGTAAATACCTCTCAACCTCAAACGCCAACAGTGACGTCCATTTCAAAATTCAGGATTTCAGGTTTTCAACTTCCCCCATTACTAAATTTAGTTATGAACTAAAATGACACCCTAAATCAAGTTAAAAAGTATCAGTCGGTATTGCCGACAGATATATACCCTCAGCCTGTGTTCGATTATTTAAAAATAATTTGACTAGTGTTACTATTATTCAAACCTTTGAGCCTCTATGGAGCAGGTTCCGAAGGAATGGGCCAATATTGTCCATTTCGTATCGGACCCAAAAATAGGATATAAATATTCCGACGTTATATCGACTCATATATATTTCGCTTTATTTGAGTGTTTTGTTTTTCAAAATCTAGAAACCTATGTATGGGGGAGAAGAAATGGTTCAATCTATACCACCTTTATAAAAGATATTGTGGTGATAGAAATATTGAGATGTGCCAAGTCTAAATGGAATCTGATGTAAATTTAGCGTTTTATGAGCTTTATGGGTATTCAAAATTTCGACACTTTGTGGGGGAGGTACCAGAAGGAGTGGTCCGATACATCCCATGTTAATACCAGATCTTGGGTTTATAAAAATACTGAAATGTGTGAAATTTGAAGATGTTCGGATCCTTACATCACATTATTTCAGAGTTATAATAATTCCAAATATTGGCCCTTTGTGGGGGAGGTACTTGATGGAGTGGACCGATATTGTCCATTTTCGCACCCGATCTAGCACTGACGCAAATATTAGGATTTGCAAAGTTAGAGCAAAATCGGCTAATCGTTTCTCTTTCTGTGCAAAAAATATATTATATATATTTTTTTGAAAATGTTAACCTTTTGTGGAGGAGGTACCAAAAGAAGTGGACCGATGTATTGCCTCTTAACACCAGACCTTGTGTTAATAAAAATATTGGGATATGTGAAATTTGAAGACTATCGGAATCTTACATCACATTTTATAAGAGCTTTAATTATTCAAAATTTTGACCCTTTGTGGGGGAGGTCCCCGATGGAGTGGACCGATATTGTCCATTTTAGCACATGACCTAGCAGTGATGAAAATATGAGGATTCGCAAAATTCGAGCAAAATCGGATTATACTTTATCTTTCTGTGCAATAAATTATTTTCTTAGAAAATTTTGACATTCTGTGTGGAAGGTACCAGAAGGAGTGGGCCGATATTGCTAATCTCCGAACTCGATCTAAGTTTGACAAAAATATTACGATATACCAAGTTTGAATCAAATCGGATACTCCCTTCGAGAGTTATCGTGCGCACCGGCGGTGGCTTAGAAATTCGTACTAAATTTGTACGAAAAGTACTAAAAGATACTATATTTGGTATTCGGTGAAGGAATAGGGCTGAAATTTAGATATGAAGGTGGTTTTTAGAAATGCGTACTATAACTTTAAGAAAAGTACAAAATGGTACTAAATTTGGTATAGGGTAAGTTCTGAAATTTGAAATGGATGTCACAGTTTTTGGGGTGTTATATTTGTAAGAAAAGTACTAAAAAGTACTAAACTTTTTATTGGGTGAAAGGATCGGTCTGGAATCCTCAATTTTGATGTTGAGGTCTCTGTTGGTATCTGGAATTGAGTTATGGAAAGTGTTTTGAAAATGTTTACTATAATTGTACGAAAAGCACGAAATAGTACTAAATTTGTTTTTCAGTGAATCTATAGGGTTGGTATTCCGAAATTTAATATTGAGTTATCTCTCTTGGTATCCGGTGTTGAGATATGTTGTACGAAATGGTACTAAATTTGCAACGGAGAAATTACAGAGGTGTAAACCTGAAATTTGATATTGAGGTTACTGTTGGTATCTGATATTGCGATATGGAGATTATTTTAAAAATGCATACCATAATTGTTGGAAAGGTATTAAATTTGGTATTGGGTGAAGGCGTAGAGGTGGTGTAACGTGGTTTTCTCGTCGGCTGAGGTAAGCTCAGCTGTACCCAGAGTCGCCATAAGGACCCACTAAACCTTATGAAATAATAAGAGTAGATTTCTCCCTTTCCTGGGGGTAAATATCGGATGTTTTATTGATCTTTAATTCTAGATTACAATCTACTCGGGTTGAAATACGATAAGATAAGTATTGAATATAGGATGGCAAATGGACTTCGGATATGTTCGTGACTCCAAGGTGATGTTGCTTAATTGGTGATCGGGGGTTCGTGGACAATCGGGAGTGATGATGTCGGGTGTACGCAATGAGTACTCGGGTGGTTGATATGAGTGTGGTTAGTCGACGATCGGATACTCGGGGATGACCGTCGGAGGTTGATTGTGAAGAAGATAGGGAATTACGATGTTGCGTTCGGGTGACGCTTGCGTTGACGATTTGAAGGTAATCGGGAACTTGTGGTCGTCGGTCGTCGACGATCAGATTATTACGATGATTGCGTTCGGCTGATGCGGTCTGTTGACGATTTGACGGTAATCGGGAACTTGTGGTCGTCGGTCGTCGACGATCAGATTATTACGATGATTGCGTTCGGCCGATGCGGTCTGTTGACGATTTGACGGTAATCGGGAACTTGCGTTCGTTGATGATTTGAAGGTAATCGGGACTTGTGGTCGTCGGTTGTCGACGATCAGGAATTATGATGATTGTGTTCGGGTGATGCGGTCTGTTGACGATTTGACGGTAATCGGGAACTTGTGTTCGTTGACGATTTGAAGGTAATCGGGAACTTGTGGTCGTCGGTTGTCGACGATCAGGAATTATGATGATTGTGTTCGGGTGATGCGGTCTGTTGACGATTTGACGGTAATCGGGAACTTGTGTTCGTTGACGATTTGGCGGTAATCGGGAACTTCTTGACGATTTGAAGGTAATCGGGAACTTGTGGTCATCGGTTGTCGACGATCAGGAATTACGATGATTGTGTTCGGGTGATGCGTTCTGTTGAAGATTTGACGGTAATCGGGAACTTGTTGACGATTTGAAGGTAATCGGGAACTTGTGGTCGTCGGTTGTCGACGATCAGGAATTATGATGATTGGATTGACATTCGTACTGGTTGGGCAGCTCGTTGAGGGTAGATTCGGCAACCGATGCGTTCGTGTAGATGGTTCGGGGTTCGTTCGTGTTCGACAGCTCGTTGAAGGTAGATTCGGCAACCGATGCGTTCGTGTAGATGGTTCGGGGCTCGTTCGTGTTTGACAGCTCGTTGAGGGTAGATTCGGCAACCGATGCGTTCGTGTAGATGGTTCGGGGCTCGTTCGTCAGCTCGGGTTTCTGTTATTCGGGTCGGCTACAGGGGCGAGGTAACTAGCCTATCTACGATTCTCTAACTACGTCTACTCCACTACCAACGTTTGACTATAATACGGAACAGCGAGCCGAAACTCCTGTGGAACAGCGAGCCGAAGCTCCTGTGGAACAGCGAACCGAAGTTCCTGTGGAACAGCGAACCGAAGTTCCTGTGGAACAGCGAACCGAAGTTCCTGTGGAACAGCGAGCCGAAACTCCTGTGGAACAGCGAGCCGAAGCTCCTGTGGAACAGCGAGCCGAAACTCCTGTGGAACAGCGAACCGAAGTTCCTGTGGAACAGCGAACCGAAGCTCCTGTGGAACAGCGAGCCGAAACTCCTGTGGAACAGCGAACCGAAGTTCCTGTGGAACAGCGAGCCGAAGCTCCTGTGGAACAGCGAGCCGAAACTCCTGTGGAACAGCGAACCGAAGTTCCTGTGGAACAGCGAGCCGAAGCTCCTGTGGAACAGCGAGCCGAAACCCCTGTGTAAATGAATTACCAGCCACTCAAATTAATGAGAGCCAGTCTTGGAAAAAGTATTCCCGACTAACGCTTTTATTAGTCGGAGGACGGCCGATGATCTTTAGAAAAATCACTAGCTACCCTTTGGCAAGCTCCTGCAGTAGCGAGCCTCCCTCTATCGCACCTCAAACCGAACACTATATGTGACCGGTTCTACCAAGTCATTGCGAATTTTTAGCCTTACGCTGTGAGCAACACACCACCGAAAACTACTTTGTTCACCACGCGCCCAATGAATGCTGCGTTTGTTGGCTCGTGCTGTTGTCGCCTTGTTGACTGCGTATGACCGAGTCGTGTGTGTATGGTGGTGGTGGTTGGTTGGTGCTGTTAGCGTCGCACTTGCAGTGGCCGCTGTTGTTGTTCTCATTGTGTAATAGGTGCGGTTGTTGGTTCGTATAAATGTACGTGATGAAATCAGCACGTTACATCCCCCCCCTGCTTGGGAAAGTGATGCTTCACGGAGATAGTCGTGCTGGTTTTGTCGGGTTATATGATAATGTGCTGGTGCTTCGGGCTGGCCAGCCTCGGTCGTGTTTCGTTGTGGATAGTTCCGCAAAAGTGGTTTAGATGGTGGATCCGTCTGTCTCTTCGATAAACTTGGCGGTGGGGACACCGATTTCGCTTTTATGGTATTTCGGTGTCTTGATTTCGGGAGTTTGCAAGTTTTAGAGGGCGACTGGACTGGAACTTCCAAAAGCTTAGCCTTCGTAAAATCTGTGTGGTTGTCTAATTTAGTATGAAATCGGACGGATCTGTGAGCTCTGATTCGGAAACCGTTGTATTTCTCGCAGGCTTGACGGTGAGGAAGTGCATCATTTTCGGGTAGATTTTTCTCCTTTCGGGACGACAGCGCACTGTCCGACATGCTGTGTAGGTAATGCAGACCGGAGCGATCACTAATCGCAGCCTTGGGAACGACCTTCCCGTCTAAGACGATATCCAGACCTCTCTTTAGCAGGAAGTCCATCCCCAGAACTACAGGTTCTGCAAGCGTCGGTAGTACTGTCGCCTCTATGGAGGTGGCTTGGTCGTTGAAGACAATCGACACCGGGTAGATCTTTCCACAGGTGGCCATTTGTTGGTCGGCAAGCTGTACTCTTCGGGTTATCGTGATCGGTTTAACCCTTTTCATATCCAAGAACTTGCCGACTGTGCTGTCGATGTAGGTAAGCGAAGCTCCGGTATCTACGAGAGCCCACAAATCTTTCCCATTGAGGGAGATCCAAATGTAGTATCTCCCATGATGATCGGTGTCGGCGGTCGGATTCACTCGGCACTCGCAGTTTCGGGATAGTATACCATCCTTCCCACAATAGGAGCAAAACAATGATCTCCTTTCCTGGCACTGATAGCGTATATGGCCCCTCTTTCTGCATCGCCAACAATGCGTTGACCTATTATATCCTTCCGAGGTCTGTGATACCATGTGGGAGGTGTGTGGACGTTCGACACGAGCCTCGTCTTTCTTTAAAAGCTCGAAGTCGTCCACCAAAGACAACAATTCGTCCAAGGTCTGGAAGTCATTCCGACGAACATAATGACGGTATTCGGGTCGAAGGCCATCGTAAATCCGATCCAGGTGGTCCATTTGTCGTAGGGTAGGGTGTTGCTTCGCCATGGTCAGCATTTGGAGTATAAAATCCTTGGCCTTTTCCCGATTGAATTGTCGTCGATTATAGAACGAGTGTTCAAGTTGTGTTAAATGACGTTTTGACAAGAAAAATTTTTCGGCCTCTATTCGGAACGACTTCCAGGTCGTGATATCCCCTTTCTTGACTCTATACCATTTAAGCGCGTTACCTTCCAGGATGCAGGGCAGGGTGGATACGAGTCGGTCGTGGGGTATTCGGTAGCACTCGGCCAACTCCTCTAGTCTTTCCAAAAACTCGGATAGATCTCCTTCGCCTGTAAATTTTAAGTTCCATCGCTGTACCATACTCATGGTCTCGGAATCAAAACTTTCCCGGCGAGGAGGTCGCTCGGGAATCTGCAGACACTCTTGAGTGACGACTGTTTTTTCTTCTGCCTGGAGCTCATTTTCCAAGTCACGTAATAAATTCTCGGTCGAACTCCTCAGTCGCTTTTTTCTCACGAAGTCCGCCAGTTGCCTCCTTAGGTGCTCGACCGTATATCCCTCTGTTTGTATAGCTGCCGCCTGGCATTGCTCTATCAGTTGTTCTTTCTTCAGCAGATAAATCCATCCTAGGGATTCGGGTTTCAATTTCTTATCGTATTTCTGACTTGACTCGTCCTCGGTGGCGGATGTTTCGGTTTTGCCGCGATGCGATTTCGAATCAGGTCCCTGCTCGGGCGCCATTTGTAACGTGGTTTTCTCGTCGGCTGAGGTAAGCTCAGCTGTACCCAGAGTCGCCATAAGGACCCACTAAACCTTATGAAATAATAAGAGTAGATTTCTCCCTTTCCTGGGGGTAAATATCGGATGTTTTATTGATCTTTAATTCTAGATTACAATCTACTCGGGTTGAAATACGATAAGATAAGTATTGAATATAGGATGGCAAATGGACTTCGGATATGTTCGTGACTCCAAGGTGATGTTGCTTAATTGGTGATCGGGGGTTCGTGGACAATCGGGAGTGATGATGTCGGGTGTACGCAATGAGTACTCGGGTGGTTGATATGAGTGTGGTTAGTCGACGATCGGATACTCGGGGATGACCGTCGGAGGTTGATTGTGAAGAAGATAGGGAATTACGATGTTGCGTTCGGGTGACGCTTGCGTTGACGATTTGAAGGTAATCGGGAACTTGTGGTCGTCGGTCGTCGACGATCAGATTATTACGATGATTGCGTTCGGCTGATGCGGTCTGTTGACGATTTGACGGTAATCGGGAACTTGTGGTCGTCGGTCGTCGACGATCAGATTATTACGATGATTGCGTTCGGCCGATGCGGTCTGTTGACGATTTGACGGTAATCGGGAACTTGCGTTCGTTGATGATTTGAAGGTAATCGGGACTTGTGGTCGTCGGTTGTCGACGATCAGGAATTATGATGATTGTGTTCGGGTGATGCGGTCTGTTGACGATTTGACGGTAATCGGGAACTTGTGTTCGTTGACGATTTGAAGGTAATCGGGAACTTGTGGTCGTCGGTTGTCGACGATCAGGAATTATGATGATTGTGTTCGGGTGATGCGGTCTGTTGACGATTTGACGGTAATCGGGAACTTGTGTTCGTTGACGATTTGGCGGTAATCGGGAACTTCTTGACGATTTGAAGGTAATCGGGAACTTGTGGTCATCGGTTGTCGACGATCAGGAATTACGATGATTGTGTTCGGGTGATGCGTTCTGTTGAAGATTTGACGGTAATCGGGAACTTGTTGACGATTTGAAGGTAATCGGGAACTTGTGGTCGTCGGTTGTCGACGATCAGGAATTATGATGATTGGATTGACATTCGTACTGGTTGGGCAGCTCGTTGAGGGTAGATTCGGCAACCGATGCGTTCGTGTAGATGGTTCGGGGTTCGTTCGTGTTCGACAGCTCGTTGAAGGTAGATTCGGCAACCGATGCGTTCGTGTAGATGGTTCGGGGCTCGTTCGTGTTTGACAGCTCGTTGAGGGTAGATTCGGCAACCGATGCGTTCGTGTAGATGGTTCGGGGCTCGTTCGTCAGCTCGGGTTTCTGTTATTCGGGTCGGCTACAGGGGCGAGGTAACTAGCCTATCTACGATTCTCTAACTACGTCTACTCCACTACCAACGTTTGACTATAATACGGAACAGCGAGCCGAAACTCCTGTGGAACAGCGAGCCGAAGCTCCTGTGGAACAGCGAACCGAAGTTCCTGTGGAACAGCGAACCGAAGTTCCTGTGGAACAGCGAACCGAAGTTCCTGTGGAACAGCGAGCCGAAACTCCTGTGGAACAGCGAGCCGAAGCTCCTGTGGAACAGCGAGCCGAAACTCCTGTGGAACAGCGAACCGAAGTTCCTGTGGAACAGCGAACCGAAGCTCCTGTGGAACAGCGAGCCGAAACTCCTGTGGAACAGCGAACCGAAGTTCCTGTGGAACAGCGAGCCGAAGCTCCTGTGGAACAGCGAGCCGAAACTCCTGTGGAACAGCGAACCGAAGTTCCTGTGGAACAGCGAGCCGAAGCTCCTGTGGAACAGCGAGCCGAAACCCCTGTGTAAATGAATTACCAGCCACTCAAATTAATGAGAGCCAGTCTTGGAAAAAGTATTCCCGACTAACGCTTTTATTAGTCGGAGGACGGCCGATGATCTTTAGAAAAATCACTAGCTACCCTTTGGCAAGCTCCTGCAGTAGCGAGCCTCCCTCTATCGCACCTCAAACCGA